GTTTTCCAAATTTTGACTTATCGATTTCCACATTAAACAGAGAAAATACAAGAAAAGGGTCAAATTTTGTTTAGCCGAAATCAGTTATGTAAAAATTGTTGCCATGGCAACCGTTGCCATGGCAACCGTTGCCATGGTAACCAGTAAACAAAAATCAAAATCTCGTGGTGAGAAAATGCGTGTTTGCCAAGTTACAGATGGTTTAATTAAGCTGTAATCAGTTACGGAGAAACTGTTGCCATAGAGACATTTGTAATGGTAACGACTAAACAAAAACCCAAATCCTGTGGTAAGAAAATGCATAGTTGGCAAGTTACGGCTCATTTAATTTTCAGTTTAGTTTAGCTGAAAACGGTTATAGAGATGTCGTGATGTCGACTAAACAAAAACCTAAATTCAGTGGAGAGGAAATGCGTAGTTGCCTCTTATATTTAGATTAACTCTTAACACAATATCCCAATCTAAACTAAAGTGAAAATGAAACCATCTATAACTTGGCAACTAGGCATTTTCTCACTACGGGATTTGTTTAGTCGTTAGCATGTCAAGCGTTTCCACAACCTAACTACTACAGAGTAAAGCGAGCGTGCCCTTTTTCCACCTTCATCGTAATATCACGTTACGCTCGTTCCACCCACCTACTAACTACTAAACTAAAGAGGAAAGTGAGCGAAGCGCGCGCGAATTTCGAAACGTCGGCCGCGCGCGCCCTTTTTCCACCTACATCATAAGATCACGCTACGCTCGTTCCACCCACCTACTAACCACTACTTGGCAACCACGCATTTCCTCACCACGAGATTTGGGTTTTTGTTTAGTCGTTAGCATAATAAGCGTTTTCATGCCAACAGTTTCTTCATAACTGATTTCGGCTTAACTAAAGTGAACATTAAATAATCTATAACTTGGCAACTATGCATTTCCTCACTGCCGGATTTGGATTTTTGTTTAGTCCTTAGCATGACAAGCGTTGCCATGAAAACAGTTTTTCCGTAACTGATTTCGGCTAAAGTGAACATTAAATGATTATAACTTGGCAACTAGGCATTTCCCCACCACGAGATTTGGGTTTTTGTTTAGTCGGTAACATGACAAGTGTGCCCATGGCAACATTTTTTGCATAAATGATTTCATCTAAATGAAATTAAACAAAAACCGTAATCATCTACAACTTGGCAACTACGCATTTCCTCATCATGAGAATAGGGTTTTTGTTTACTCATAGCCATCACAATTGTTATTATGACAACAGTTTTTGCATAACAGATTTCGGCTAAACGAAAGTTGATCCTAAGACAATAATATGCAATAAATAACCTACACTTTCCTGAATGCTACAGGTTTTTTCTTACTCTTCTTTATGTGTCCATTGCATCTCCAACGAAAACCATCTACCGATTGAGCATATGGCGTCATTACAAAATAGCCATCACATTTATCCACTAAACATTTCATTTCATTATTTTGCGGTATAACACCCAAACGCTGCACTTGCAAAATAATGTCATTATTATTTTGCCATGTAAATATATCATATAAATTAATAAAATCGATCCAGGCAAAAACTAATTATTAGAAAAATATTTCAAATCTACTGTCACTTTACAGTATATCATGTCACCATAATAAAATTAACAAACGCAGTAAACTAGTACATAAACATCACATTACTTGCATTGGCAAATTAATACAAGTGAAAAAGTAAACATTTTAAAAGCGATTAAATTTATTTAAATTAGTACCGCCAATATTTTTTTTATTTTTAAGCTTCCAATGACATAACATATACTCACATAAACTAAAAATTTTAGTAATGCGCGGATTCACTATAAACTGCATTTTTACCGAGTAGGATACAGCAAAATAAATATTAATTAGGCGTCTTGTTTAGAAAAAGAACCTTGGAAAACCAGAATAAAAAGTTAGGTTCGGTGATCTGTGTGTGTGTTAAATTTTAAAAATCTGATTATAATACGTTGTCTGTAGTCTTTGATACTTACTTTCTATTTTCCTGAGTTTCCATTATTAAAACAATGAAACCATTAAAAAACCAAAAGCAATTACTTTTTTCGCTGTAGGTAGAACACCAACGCGTGCCCACGCAACAACACAACGACAAACGACAGACCGCTACAATCTAACAACCTACAACCACAATCAGAATGCCAATTTTAAAAATTAAAAATCCTACTGCTTTTAATATTTTTTTTTATTTTTGTGACATAAATCATGACATACTCTTTAGTATGCTGCTTATGGTTGTAGGAAACTACCTTCTAAGTTTAAAAGTGAAATTTCAACATTTTGAGGCTCCTCAAATTCAGCAAATTGGAAAAAACTCAGATTTAATTTAAATTATATTTTTAATAACTCCAAGTTCAGAATTAGAAAAAAGAAACCAATAACTAAAAAATGAACTAATTAACATTACTCATTACCATTTGAATAGGCTATGGTTAAGCTACCGGTATGTCACGCATCTAAGAAAATTAAAGCTTCGCCAATCAGGTCCTGCCTGTAATTTCCTTGTCTTACTGACGCAGATTTATCTTCCTAGGCGCGTCCACCCTAAGCTGCAGGGGTCGTGGACTGTATTAGGGCTGGTATTTGAATGTTCGGAAATGTAACTTGCGGGTTAGTACCGAATTATCACAATGCTAGAATACTCGACTGCGCTCTACGAGTTTTGCGGCGATACTGATCAACCGTTTGAATCCAAGAATCATTCTTCGCCATACGGATGTGCTCTTTGACCAATTAGGGCAATACCGTCTTGGCGAAGTATAAGTAATGAGAATAATAAATATAAGTGAAATATTACGTTTCATACTGGATGATAATATTCAATTTAAACTTACATATACTAAATAAGTGAACAGCATTTTTAAAGTAGTCAGATTTTTTTTAAGATATAGCAAGATGTCTTGATTGGGCCCTATTTTTAATAAATCCATTACCCTATTACTCTGACCACCGCAACTGATGCTTCAGTTACCAGGCGAACGCAACGTTCCACTGCTTGAATATTACACAATAATAATGGAAAATCAGAAGGACTCACTTCGTTCCAAGAAATCAACTCTGAATAATGCATCACAGGGATATTAAACACCCGTATCGTTTGTCTACCTTTATTTTTCGCCTTTCGTGTACCAAATTCTCTGTATCTTGGATCTTCATCCGTAAGCATTGACAATAATAAGTTCTGAGGATGCGCGAAAAATCTATTACGTTGGATAAGGGCTAAGGCCAGATGCTCTCGATTGCCAAAGTCGTTGTTTTTGATTTTGTTTCACCTGAACAAAAATACTGTAAACAAATTTTCAAAATAAAATTTAAGTAACCTTACGTAGAGATATAGCAACACTACTATCAGATTCAGTGCCTTCCTCTTTACCGTCTTCACTACTAGAACTGCATACTTAAATTTTCTCTTGCATATATAAGTAACTATAGCTAAGTTTTGGGATTTCTTTTTTAAATAAACTAGTTTTTCTGGCCTCATTCTTTGCAATTTTCTACTTTTGTGTTTCCTGTTCCTATAGCCATAACTCTTTTACTTCTTTGGCCAGCTAGAAAGGCTTGTTCTCTTTGGGGTACTTTTTTTGATTTTTCACTTACATGTTTGAAACACATTTGCAAGCAGCTATATGAAATAGCTTAGAGGCTTTTTCTTTAAATGACTCTAATGTTAGTTGAATCGTTCAAGTATCCTTTCTGCTTTTCAAATTTCTCTGAATAAGTTGATGAAACTTTTTTATTTTGTCCAATATTTGAATTTTAGTCAGTACAGGAACTGAAGCATTAAGCCAAATTTCTTAAATTTTTGGCACAACTTGTTTTAGAATCGCACGAACGAAAGATCCTTTCTGGCACATTTTTACCCACTACTTTAATTAAAAGTTTTTTTATTCCACCCTATTCTGAATCACTCATGGGAGCCTTTTTTTGCAAATATTTCAGGACTCACGATCCCAATTCGTTTACACCTCGGTGGCTTTTGGACTCGTCCCAAACGTAGTATTCGCAGATATTTCTTTGAAGGTCGGAAATTGTGAAATTGAACACGTTCAATTTTGACTTATAATAAATTATCCTTTGGGTATTTGCATGACTGCTTGCAAATTATTCATTCCTATTATGCCATTAAAATTATTTTTATCTTAATCATGTTTCTTTTGTTGTGTCGACAAGTTCTTCTCCACCAAATACCGTTCATATCTCTCTATTAATTTTTTTTTTCATTAATGACATTTTTATATGCCACACAAGTTTCACATAAGTCCTTCTTAGGCACAAAGAATGAAATATTAAATTCTTCTGTAAACAGCTGATGGAATATTGCGTAGCTTGCATACGTTTTGTTTTCTTCACAATTTACCACTTAATCTTTATGAATGTCTGCTAATGAGCGACTGCTATCAATGAATGTTCGTAATGTATTTGCTCTGGTTATAGTGGCTTTCAATTTAAGGAATTTCATTGGTGTGTTCTCGAATCCCTTCTCGTATGGCCGAATCCAACTTCTTTTGCTTGCTGGGTTTTCCTCGCTGATCTGGTTCGAGTAGTACATCTGCCACCTTATTGCGTTTTTTCTGTACTGTTCGAATATTTATGTCTAGAGTGTGTTAAAAAAATGCTTACATACTCGAACCCTCTCTGACCATTTTCATTAAAGTAGAATGCACTATTACTATGTCGTGGTTGTCTTGAACCTCCAACTCGAGTATAACGATATTTTGGTTTAATGGTCGTCATGGAGTTGTTAATTAAATCTCTGTTTCTCAAGATTACCTAAAGACCAATCGTTTGAGAAGATTTGCTGCCTTTCTTTTTGACGTAACCTACTTGAACACTGCAATTAACATTTCTCTCCACACGAAACTTTCATTTCCCTTCGATCACGAATCCTTTTGTTTTTTGTATGGGTTTCGTATACCTACCTCACTATTTCTTGATTTCTTCAAAATATTTCTTTTCTAAATTTATTATTTTTTCGTTTAATGCCTTTTTTTGGCGGGATTCACTAAAATTTGTATATTTTGAGCAGATGTGGATGTATTATTTAAATGCAGAGTACTGTTGTCTGTGCGAGAAAGGGCACCTACAGTATTTTGTTGAGTAACATCAGCAACATTTTCCTTTTCACTGTCACTTTCTTCATCATTTTTAGGTAAGTACATCGTATCATTAATAAGGTCATCACAATCTTCAGAGGATGATACGCTGCTTACAGAAGATGAAGAACTAGATGGAACTATTTGAATGTCTTGCGCCATTGGTACATTTAAAAATCTGTCTAAAATTGGATATTAAGTTATCCATTATTTGGTAGTAAATATTTATTTTCCAGTGTGCTGAATGATTCGAATTTGATGATTCTGATGAAATGTCTATGGTTCATTCATCTCCTAGAGCACTTTCAACTACATAATCCATATTTTAGCAGGGAGCTGCCTTTTTATTTTAGCTACCCTAACTGGCTCGAGAACAATATCATGATTTTCATCAAAATTTTGAAGTTTGGCATAAATATTGTCAAAGTTATTTCTAGAATCTTCTAGTTTTTAAGATACCTTCTGTTATTGAACTCGCTTTGCTAATAGTAGCATCCTTGCCTTGAAAGTACTAACTTAAAATGTTAACAAGCAGTAAAACATGATTCAGAATATGTAAGCAAATGCAAAAGTCTGCCTTCTGAATGCATTCTAACAATCTAACAGCTTCAACTGCATGTCTGTCTTGGTTTTCTCTTATTTCACTTTCTAGTGTTGTTTTAATTACTTTATAATTTTCCAAAACTGCTTTACAATTTTTAAATCGACACGCCCACCGAGTAGTCGAGAGACAGGATATTTTCAAAAAATTAATATCCAAGTTGTTTGCAACCTTTTTAAGATTTTCGTGATATCCTGGCCGAGAATAGTGAATGTATAATGCTTCCAAAGTGTTAAAGAATGAAGCAGCTGATGAGACTTTTATACAAGCGTCAACTACAACTTAAGTTATTTTAATTTTCTGCAGAGAAAGCTGGGCTATAATTTCAATTATTTCATTCTGCACCTTAGGACTACAATTACTAAAATACTTGGAAAATTTTTCATCATAAACGTAAAAAAATTCTGCTACTTCTAAAAAGTTTCCTCTATTTTTTGAGGAAACATTCTCAAAGATAGCCCTTGTCGTAGCAAAACTAAAATTATATTAATTAACTTCTTCATGTATCTTTTAGTTTGTTTTTATATGATGTATTAAAACTAAGTTAATTATTTGTATCCTTTTATTTTTATAATTTCTTACAATCAAAACTCTGAGCTGGTACGTTCTTCTTGTATCTTTAGTCTGCCGAACTACCAACTTGACAAAACTTGACTACCAACTAAAGATTACAAGAACCACCAACTAAAGATTACAAGAACTACCAACTAAAGATTACAAGAACTACCAACTAAAGATTACAAGAACTACCAACTAAAGATTACAAAAACTACCAACTTATACAAGTTATATAACACGCTCTCTTTTTATTTTTAAGATACAATGTAGCCATTTAAGTAACTAGAACATTTAACAGTACGAGAACATTTAACAGTACGAGAACGGGTATTTTTAGTATTTGTAAGTATCCCGCTCTCAGGAAAGTCTGAGTTGTCAGTAGAATGATATGAATTCTTAGATATATTATCTTCAACATTACAGTTTGCATTTTCTAAATCTGGATTCAATACATTATTTTCAATTATGGTGATTTCATTACTGAATTCCTCACTTATTTGATTATTTATATGTAGCTTCATTTGATTGTACTTCTGTACTGTTATGATTCATTAATGTACACATCTTCATATACTAACTTGGGATCACATATGCTTATTGGAATGTTGGTCTTATTTATTAGTTTTCGATTTCGTTTAAATGTATTGCCATGTATATCTTTAATCAAGTACGATAGATCAATATATTTGTTATTTCTCCCTTGTTCCAACAATTATTTTTTTGGAAAAGAATGCCTTCGCCTTTTTTTAAAACAGGCAAATTTTTTGCAAATATTTTTTATTTCTTCTTTTGAAAAATAATTTTTTTGTAAATAAGTAAAATTCTATTTATCACCTTATAAAAAACCGTAATCAAATCTATTTAAAAAAAAAATACAATTTTATTTAGGTATCAAAAATGACACACAAAAACAGTTCTATATACTTATTACCTACTAAACTGAGAATATACTAGGCATGTATCTACCTAACTAGCTTACAAATCTTCAAGTTCATCATTCATCAGCAGTTTCTTCATTATCAGTCTCATCTACGATTAATTCTATTTGATCCGCTAGCTCATCAGACTCATCATTTTCTTCATTCTTCTTCTTCGTTTTTTTATAATTTAAGTTATGTGGTCTCCTTTTTCCACTAGAAGCCCTACTTCTTTTTCATGTGCCGCTTTTGCTTAATTCAAAGCGTCTTCTGGCATTCTTTATTATATTTTTCATAATTTTTTCACAATCCATTTCTGAATAGTGAGAATCAGCCTTACTGATAATTTTGTAAAATAGACTAATTACGTTTCTATATTTTTTGAAGGCGTTCTCCTTCTTCTCTTCTATTGCCACCACTCCATGAGAATTGCACCAAGAACTGTCTTTTAAAAAACGATCTATTAATAGGTAGGAGCAGTTTAAACCATTCATTTTCCCATCGGTCCCACAAATATGAGATTTACATTTAATCTAAAATAGAAACGAAAAATTCATGATAGTTTATTTTTCTTTCAGTAAGAAATAACGAAGACTCCGTTTTAATAAAGAAGGGTATAGCAACGTATATAAAATACAAGGCTTGCTCTTTTGAAACGGATTCTACTAAATTACAGTTAAACCTATGTATTGTCATTGAACCAGAAATATCACAAATAAACAGCAAATCTAACCAATTTTTACACCATTAGTGTTAAAGTTGCTACATTTAAAGTTAAAATTGTTTTTAACGTAGGCTGCATTCGTAAGTTTTAAGAGGTAGCAATGTTAGGATACAATAAATGGGTAGTAATCAAAAACAATACATATAATCATGTAACAACTTATCAATTTGTCCATATGTTTCATCTGTAAGTTCCAATTCAAATTGTTCTAATTTTAGAAGAGAATCAATAGAGAGGGGATCAGGTGATGTATTATTATCACATTTATTGGCATTATTTGATACCTCACTGATTGGTATGTAGGCTTTGTTTTACATAATTGCTCACAAATAAGCTGTATCATGGTTTCTTGATTAGCCAGTTGTTCCATAATTCTCATTTGATTTTCCAGCAGAGCACTCAAGGTATTTTCTATGGACGACTGTACATATCTGTTTCCATTTAGTTCACATGACTCCACGTTTATTTCTTCCAACTGATCATCAATCAACTCTGACGTTAACAACTCTCTTATTTGTGATAAAAATGACTAAACGAATGGTATTTGTAACTGAAATACTATTTAATTTATTTGTAATAAGACTAAACCAATGGTATTTATAACTGAAATACTATTTAATTAATTTGTGATAAAAAGACATGCTTTTATTCTTAAAATTTAGTAAAAATCTTAAACGATAATCCATATAAATTTACTATGTCTCACGTTCATTTAATTATGATTATTTTCAGCGCATATGAACGTTACAATATATTGCATACTCTTCCGCCGATATCTGACCAACACCATAACTTGCACATTTTGCGCACTGATCCTTTTTTGGAGAAAACAAGTTGAGATTCTTAATGTCATTAATTTCATAATAAACTGCAACTGAGAGGGCCCGTACATTACGATTATTTGGAACAAGTACTTTGTTGACCTTGTGATGTCTTGTGTTTTGTTACAATTGGTTTCTTAAGCCAATTTAAGACAACGTAGCGACCTAAACAGAGTGTGTTTAAAAATAAGGTTCTACACACTTTCAACAGATTATTCCTTACTTTCAACAGATTATTCCTTACTTTCAACAGATTATTCCTTACTTTCAACAGATTATTCCTTACTTTCAAGTGATATTGCAATGTTTGATTTCTTCTGGATTCAGTGTCAACTTTTCGATCTCGTGACCTTCTTCTGACCCCAATCTATATTCTAAAAATCTTTAAATATCTGCATTCTTTCGTCTTCGGTCACCAATGAACGTTTCATGGTACCGCTCTCCCTTCTTTGTTTGCAGTTACATCTTGGTTTTATAATTCGTGGTTCTTTAGGTTTCTTATAATTCCAGGCATTTTCTTCACTTTTTCTACCATAATATTTTCGACCTTTTTTTCTTAGTTATTTGTTTCTGTCCACGAACCAAGTAGATTTTTTGTCCTGCACCCTTTTATTTCGCTTTTTAGATTTAATTGGTAAAGTCTCAGAATCGCTGTTAAAGCCATAAGGAACTAAACCCTGATTACTCTCATCGGATATGAAGTCTTCAATATCATCTACTATATTTGAGAATCTGTCATTTCGAGAATTATTAGGCCTAAATACACCACTTTCAGGCTTAACTTGTATAGATTCCCCGTCATTAGGATCAGAGATTAGACACTGGTCATTATTGTTCGGAAGAATTGCGGTTTCAGTTGTAACAATATTATGTATGCACTTATTCTCCTCAAACGTACACACTAAAATACCATTTGCGTTCGTGGAGTCTTCAATGGCATCAACAGGACATATTGGTGTGAGATTATCGTGTTCTGAAGACATAGTATTTATCGCAGAGAATAAAATAAATTTTCTTGACAAGCGTCAATAACTTCTATTTCGATGTTATTGACAACTGTATAATTACTTTTTACCTTAAAATCCTCGACAACAGATCATTAATTTGGAAACTGGCCTGATTCCGGTTCAACTGAGGCAGATAGTTGCTGTAATTGCATAAAATGCCCTGGGTCATTCTTAGGCCTTTCTTCATCGTATTTTAACATACTAAGTATTTTTTTGCTTCGCCATGACATCTAAAAAAAATTAAACACTACTTAAACAATTTTTAAAACATAAAACATTTAATAAGTAGCTTGAATTGTAATAAAGTGTGTAGGAAAACGTGCCATTTACAAAATAAATTTAATATAAACTAGAAAATGTGCTAACTCCACTGAATCTACGTTAATTACTTTATACTGACGAAATAAATAATAAACCATTATTTTTATTAAATAAAATTTGTTTAATTAGTATAATGAACATGTTCTTACCTTATATTGCTTTAGTAAACGAATACACTCTTAATAAAAACTATAAAAAACAGGTGAAATAATGCACAATCACTCTTTGAAATTATTGTTTTATTTCTAAAGAAAATAGCAAGATTAATAAATGAAAAAAGCCGGCACAATCGGCGTTACAATATTAAGAGGCAAAACAGTGGTAAAAACAAAGGTTCGATGTCTAGTGATCTGAATCTAATGTCGCAATCTTCTCGTCACCCCTTCCTCGGACACATGATCGCAGTTCGGAAGGCGCGGTTGCCACGTTGACTCACGTTTACCTGGCTTACAAGAAATAGTTTTTAGCAATAATTTAAATAGAGATTGAACAACAGGTATTTGCTTCGTGCTCATCGGACAAGAGTACAGTATAAAAATAAATGGCCATGTGACTGGAGCGCGCTCGATTTGAATGCTGCGTACTTAGCACGTTTAGGCTAGCCGCACATTGAGGGCAGCGTAGCCTAGCACAGCACAGTGGAGGAACTACAGAGGAAAACTATTCCTGTGCTGTGCCAAAGCGATATCCGCATATTGAACGTAGGTAGTTAATTTTTCCTGTTTTTTAAAAAAATATGGATCCAGCCGCTCAGTTAAACTTACTTTTGGATTCGGAAATAGAAAATATTGTCTTTTTATATAGTTTGTCCGATTATTTGAGGAAAATAAGCACTCATGGGGAATTCAATTTAATAAGTGAACTTGATGATAATCAAATGAAAATGTATTTCAGAGTTACTGAAGAACAGTTTCAAGAACTACATAACATAATTAAAACTAAAATACAAGGAATAGGTTGTAACGCACAAGAGCCTATCGAAACTGAAACTAAACTTGCAGTGTGATTGAGGTATGAACACTTTTTTACAAACATTTTCTATTTTGATTATACAAAAATTAACTATTTTGATTATATCTAAAATTTTCAAAGCAGTTTGAAGGAGATACTTCTTTGGATGTTGCTTGTATGTCATAAGATTGATCTGAAGATGGACGAAGTGGTTCGTAATTTAGTTGTGGTGGTGACTGCGCTGTTGATAATTGTTCGTATGTGGAACTACTATGTAATGAAGGGCTAGGTAACGGTAATCCTATACGTTGTTGTGGTGGGTGCAATGACGAGCTTCTTGTTTGGAAAAATTCAACGCCAAATTTGTTTCTTCTTCAAGCTGGACAGCCTCAAAAATGTTCCTTCTAATTCGCAATTGAGATATTTTTGACATTTTCTTGGTATCATGGTACATTGCCATAAACAACTGGTATAAACCATCTTCTTTCTCATTACCCGATTTTTTTTTCAAGTAATGATATACGTTTTCGTTCTTCGTCTCTTTCTTTGCTTCGTATTGTATGCTTTTCCAAGGTGTTCTGTAACGTACTCGTAATATAAATTTTTCGTTTTTTGGCACCTATATTTGGAGTATCAGGAGTAGCGACTGTATTGCCTCTAGAACGTTGAATGTATTGTAGTTCTTCCGCCTGGTCCACTTCGTCATCTTGTGTGTTTCCGTTCGATCCTTCAGTAATATCTTGCGATGCAGGCGAAACCAAGTTATCTTCAATAGTATTGCTTCTCTCATCCTGCGAAATGTCAACGTTTCCTGTTATGTTTCTATTAGCCATAAATTGAAGAAGAAATTCCATCTGCTTCTGTAAGTCCATAACTTTATTGCTTTTGCAGCGTCTCCGCTCTTTCTCTTTCCTTGTCGTCGCAATGCATCGCGATGACAATCTCTTAGTTTTCTCCAAATTTCTTTCACTTCCTGTCCTAAAAAAAGTGAATCATATCTGTTAGTAATCATTTACTTAGGTACACAATTTTTTTTAGGTATTTGGCCACAGGAGATACATTCAGAACCATTAGATTTTCTTATAGGCTAGGGGAAAGGACTGTATCAAAAATAGTTAAAGAGGTTTGTAAAGTACTTTGGGAATGCTTACAACCGCAATAAATGCCAAATCCAACAACGAATACTTGGGTGACAGAATTTGAAAGAAAATGTCAGTTTTATAATTGCCTAGGTGCAATAGACGGTAAACATATAACAATTAAAAAACCAGGTCAAAGCGTTTTTTAATTACAAGCAGTACTGCTCAATCGTCCTAATGGCCACTGTAGATGCAAACTATCGGTTCACTACTATTGATGTAGGTTCAATGGATCGATTTAGTGATGGGAATATATTTAGCAACAGTAATTGAGGAATAAAAATAATTAATTGTACCTTGGAATTACCAGTTCCCAGGCCTTTACCTGGCCAAGAAGACAATACACCATATGTATTTTTAGGGCATGAAGCTTTCCCTTTGAAATCTAATTTGATGCGTCCATTTCCAAAAGCTCAGGTTACCAACAATTATAGAAATAACTACAGGTACAATTCTAATTTTAATTTTAACCGGGTTTCCTGATTACTGGCAGCCGTGGATGATATTGTCAAAGCCACATGTGTACTTCATAAGTTTCTCTGCGGGAATGCAAATTATATTTTCGAAGAAGACAATGATACGCAGCTCTCAGATTCGCAGTTACTTCCCATACGGCCCAACAGAATACGAAGTGCAAACGAGGCTTATTTAGTCAGAGAGAAATACAGAGATTGCTTCAACTCTCCATCTGGAACTCTGCCATGGCAACAACATTCAGTCCAACGTGGGCATTACCAATTAATTATAAAGCTTCTGTTGCTATCACAAATTACTTATTTAAATAAAGAATATGTTAAAGGAGCACGTTGTACATCCCCATTTTACTTCAGCTTTGAACCTTGAGGTCACTCGTTATTTTATTTTTAATAGATAAATAGTAATAAAAAAGTATCTGCCACTTACCATTTGAATAATTAAGTTCTGTGGCAATTCGGGCCCAAATCTCATCCTTATATTTCGTTCTCATATAATCTTGGTGGTTAGTGTCGTACAAGACCCTATTTTCCCTCACACTTTCAATTAACAACTCCATTTTGCTGATTTTGTTGTTTCTTAAATTTCTAAACACTAAAATTTCTATATATTTTGGTGTAATCTTCGCGCGCAGTCAGGCCGCAGTCCCGAAAAAACTGTGTTCCGTTCACTTAGCAGCACAGGCAGAGGAACATTTTTCCTCCGTCTAGTCCTTACAAGTTACTACGTGCAATATGCGGCACTGCGTTTGTTCATGTACGTTACAAAATGGCTTCCTCTGCTCGGCTGTGCTGTGCTAGGCTACGCTGCCCTCAATGTGCGGCTAGCCTAACACATCAGTCATTTACCGCCAGTTTAACTGAATTATCGGGTACGCTGATTTTCGTACACGATGCGCCGTCGTTTCCTCTTTCTAATGATACCCAAATGTGATTTGAGACGGAAAATGGAGTTAGCGCGTTTACACTCTAAGCCGACGATATATTTTATTCTATAAATTGTTTTAAAAATGTTATCTGTCTTCAATAAAAAAACTTTTTGAATAAATAAAACAAAAAAAACTTATCATTTTTTTTAACTTATTGCATATTATGAAACTAGTTGAATCTTCAAAGTAGATAAATAAAAAAGTGGTTTCGTGTTTTAACATGTTATATTAACTAAAACAGAAAAATAAAAATCAATATCCTGAAGCAGCATTAAAAAAAATCGATTCTAATTTAGTGTACTATTTAAATTTTTGCACAACTGAATTTTTTGCATGAGCAATATTTCTATTTTTATTTTCTTTTGTTCCTTCAATGCTGCTATTTTTACTCCTGCTTCTTCTTTTAAAAGTGCAACTTCAACATCATGTTTTTCTTGCATGAGTTTCATTTTTAATTTGTGTTCTTCTTCTGTGTAAATCTTTTTATGTTTCTCTATGTATATCTGCTTTCACACTTGCCCAATGAGAAACTTTTGTTACTATTGGATTTTCAGGTTTTTTGCGAAATCTGTCTACAAAAAATATGTTTCAATTATGGAACATAAACAACTTTTGTAAAGATATTTGTGTCAAATTCCAAAGTCACCTTTACACATTTTTTTAGTAAAATAAAATATATTTAAATGCACTAGCAAACTTGCTGGCACAGTATGTTACTTTTCCAAATGAAGCCCAATTACATATCATTGCAATGGTAAGTTCAAATTTACTTGTTGGTAAATAATTTTTGCATTACGGAAATATCTGTCTGTATGGGTAATTGAAATATAAATACTTAATTGTAAAGCGGTGTTACAGGCCTGATTTGTATATAAACCCTATAATATACATGAGTTCTTACTAATAGTTGAAATAAATGTTTCTATATAATTTTTAGAATTTTCGTCTACGTTCGCATGGTTTTCCTGGAGCAGTTGGTGCAATAGATGGATATCATATTCCAATAAAGCAACCTGTTGGAAATGCCCATGATTATTACAATAAAAAATGATTTAATTCTATTATTCTTCAAGGTTTGCAAAACAATTATTCATATGTAACAATACGTTAAGAGTAGTTAATAGTTAAATTTCACTTTTTAGATGTTTTTTTTTTGAATTGAAATAACCACTATCATCAAAACATTTAATTGTACTTTTATTTTAGGTATATGTGATCATAAGGGGAAATTTGACTGTTTCATTGGGTTACCAGGACGGATGCATGATGCACGTGTTTCCGGAATAATCCTTTATATAATAAACTTACTGATCCTCATAATCCTCTTATGATTGATCAGTTCCATTTAATTGGAGATTCTGCATATCCCTTGATGACCAATTTGATGTGTCCATTTAGGGATAACCATCACTTAACCCTTAGTGAAATTAAATATACAATACCAATTCCATTAGATCCATCATAGAACGTACATTTGGGATACTGAAAGGAAAATTTCGGCATTTGAAGTATTTAGATATTTCAGATTTACAGTTAGGGTAAGTCCGGTAGAAATGCCAACCTTTTTTAAATGTTTAAATAAAAAAAATATTTTTCGTTATATTTATTTAAATTTATTAATGTTAACACCAAACAACATAACTAAAAGATACATTAGCGTAAAAAAATGATAATTCTTATAGGAAAAGGTACATTGTAAATTAAAAAAATAATTCAGTTTGGCATCTCTCCCATATTATCTGGGTGAGATGCCCATCTGTGGCGGTACAGATGCCAATGTTTATAACTGTCTACTTTTTTATAGTTAACAGCTTTCCACATCGCTGGCCAATATTCCTGAATCCAGTGCATCCCTTATGCAACCACCGGTTACAATGGATGCACTGGATTCAATCGTCTTTTTTCTTAGTTAGACTCCACGGCTCTCCACAGCCCACGCTTTCGTCATCTTCATCTTGACCAAAAGAAGAATTACTCTCGTGTGTTGAAAAGTCATCTGAGGTGTCACTTGAATTACTCTCCCTTCTATTTTTGGTTTTCCTAACTATCACATTTGTTTTGGAATTGATACCAGAAGGGCCTGCTTCATTTTCTGAAATAGAAATCTTTGCTTTCTTTACGGGCTTGTTTTCTTTATTGTTGCTTGCCTCTGCTTTCTTCTTTCTGCTTGTTTCAAGTTTCTCTACTCTTTCTAAATTTTCAGGTGATGTCAGAAGTTGAGCCACTTTACCTCCTCTACTTTTAACATTGCTGATTGCTTCAGATAATGGCGCTACAATGTTAAGCAGCTTTCCTGGCGTGTTATTATCTTGAGTATTGTTTTCACCAGCTTGATCTGCTGAACTAGGATGTGACTCATCAGTGGCTGAAGTTGTAGCAACATTTGACGCTACTTCCTTTTCGTTTTCCATACGATTAGCTTGACTTTCAGTCTCCATTGGGTAAATGCATAATCTGGTATTTGGCTCCTCGGATCATAAGGATAGATTCCTGTAGATCGAAAAGCAGATACCGCATTATGTACAGATACCGCTTTTCCCCATGCCTCATTTAAAAGTTTAGCGAAATTGAGCCTGGTAAGTCTCCTATCTTTACTTGCTTTGACAAAATAATAGCAGGATTGGTAATAAGCCGATTTTAGAGATTTGAAGACGGCTCTGTCTAAAGGCTGAAGATAGTATGTGGTGTGAGGTGGCAAGCAAAGCAGAATTATGTCATTCTCTTCTGCAAATGTTAATACATCTATTGCGTTTGTATGTGAAGTGTGACCGTCTAAAATTAAGAGGCATTTTCCTTGAGACTTTATAGGTAAAAAATGCTCCTTTAGCCAACGATGAAACAATTCTGCGTTTATGTAAGCCGACTTTTTTGACATATAAACAACGGCCTGGTGGCATATCATTTAGAAATTCAGGTTTCTTATTAACACCTTTAAATATGCAAGCGGGAGGTAAAACGAAACCTTCTGCATTGCAGCAAGACACAACTGTCATAGTTTCACCTTTTTTGGAGGAGTCGGGGTTGTTACAACCTTGGAACCTTTTCAGCTATAACCAACGATGGTTTAGTATTAAGTTGTAGACCAGTCTCGTCTACATTGCAAATAGAACCTGGTTTATCCAATAAATCATTTTCTTGCAATACTTGATGCAATAAATCAAAATAATTCTTTACAGCCTCCTTTGTCATTCCCAACATTCTACTTCTTGATAATCTCTCCGCTTTTCTTATTGACAGTTCCGGATTTCTTCTTAAAAATGACTTTAGCCAGTCATACCCCGCTTTTTCTTCTTCTTTGTTAAATTTATGTTTC